TTAATTTTGGGATTGTTCGTCGCAAATTGGATGTACCGGTTGGTTGCACGACACGGGTGTGTAAACAATCTTGAACACGATAATTTTCCTCCTCCCAAAAACAAAAATCAGCGCAGCAATTCGAACCTGACGATAATGGGGCAGCATGGTGAGGATTTTGCCATAGCGCCTGTAATTTGCTGCAAGTGCCAACTCGCCGGTACAAACATGTTCGGAACCTGGTTCTCAACACTCCACCCGATGCTCTAACTATTTTGGCCTTGGCATTTGTGGAAGTCATCGTCCCGCGCAGTTAGATCGTCCGCATTCTTCCGCAAAATCGCTTCGGCATCTCGCACCATAAAGATTCATCTGACTCGTTCATCACGAACGGTGACAGCAACAAACCTGCAGAGTAAAGTACCTACGGTAGTTGTTTGAACGTCGTCCTACAACCTCTCCAAGAGACGAGCTGGTCGGGGGGCAGGGGTGGGGATGGTAATGTGGCAATATTGTGCGGTCCGGACAACAACCCATCATTTGGATGTTCTCACCAATGGCAGTGCGAACCCGGTTAGTCCGCAGTTGACGCCTGCTTTGCCCTGCCCCCCCCTGCGCTCCCTCCTCGCGCCCCGGACTCCTCTGCATCACGCCCGCGTTGCCTGCGCCGTCAGTACGCGAACGAGAGCCGCGGTGTGTTTCAAACTCGTCAGTCACACAAAGTCAAAGACAATCGTAAAGCCACCGCTCCCCGTATTCTTGTACGTGTGGGGTCTACAGGTAGAGATGTTACAACGTTGCGACACTGAACATTAGCGCACCTCCAACAACTGGATATCATCTGGTCGTCAAGGTAATAATAGTTTGCGGCGGCGAGGGGGGTGGACGGGATGGGGGATCGGGGTCGGGGGGNTCTCTCCGCCCTCTCCACTTGAAACTGCAAGGCGTACCAGTCAGGGCAGTTCTTCCGTCCGTTTTTTTTTTGGGACTTGAAAATGATCATCCGAACCTTCTCGATGAACTTTTTCTTATCCCCGTCAACAGCCTGGAACAGCTCTGACGCTCCACCATTGTAAGTACCCTGGAAGACTCGCAAGTGCATCTGAAAGTAACACACTCCTAACATCTTGACGCACTCTCCGACGTCGATGGTCCATTTGCCGTCGACCTTGACGACGATGGGTTTGTTGAAGAGACCCGGTTGGGAAATTGCTTCCAGGACATATTTGAACATCGCCGGCATCTTCAGATTGAAGAAACCCGGCAAGAAATCACAGCCGCCAAGGAAGTACATAACCACAAAAAGCACCACCTTTGCTTGCCCCTCGTGATCGTTCAACCACTCGGGGGCGACGCCTCCTTCTCCAGCACCCGTGTTCCATGCCGGCTTGTCAACGAGGGCCGTGTACACCCGGTTGACATCAACGAACTGGATAGCTCCCTGCCCCTTCCGCTGTCGCACCGTCACTCGCACCTTGTCTGAGCCTGTTGGAGTAATCTTGCCGCTGGCGAAGGCGAGGAGGATGTGCATAATCTGGTCCGAGTCCGTGGAGGTTATAAGCCACGATGTGACTTTGTCCAGGCCTGTGTATAGCGCGTGGTGGACGATGGCATATGTTGTGCTAAGCTCCCCCTCCCCGATGCCCGGCCCTTCCACCGAAGTCACCGCCGAAGCACCTTCTTTCCATACCCGCGCATCGAGAGGTTTGGCGTTCGCTGCCGATGAGCCATCTCCCCCATCTTCCTCTGTCATACCCGATGGCCCTTGTCCCGAAGGCGCTGAAGGGGCGGGCCCCCCACTGAACGTGGCGGCGGCAGAGGGGGCACCTCCACCGCCCCCACCCCCCTCGACGGGCGGCACCGGTACAGGAGACACCCCAAAGGCCACGAACGATGCACCGTCAGCCTTCTCTCTCCCGCCCGGGTGGCTGGTAATGCGTTGCCAAAGGTAAGACGCAATTTTGTCGCGGGTGCCCGCCCGACGAAGAAATGGAGAATACTTGGCGCCGGTCGGAATCGGTCGGCTGGAGGTGACATCAAAATCGACGTTGGTGGTTTCAATCCCTACGAGTCGCTTCCTCTGCGTTGCAGCCTTGATCGGCGGCACCTCCTTGGGGTCGTCGTAACAACACGCCACAACACGGTGTCCACCGCCCTCCTCGTCCGTGCTGCCGTACGTGGCCACGTCTGATAAAATCTGCAGGCAATTGGGTGGCGGCATTTTTTTGCGGCAAGGACGGGTTAAAACTTCCCGGTCACCACCTGAATCGCATCGCGCATCTCGAGTGACCACCACAAAACGCATAGCGCGTAAGCAACAACACGCAACAACACGAACGACGACAAGAGGCGGAAAATCCTACTTGGGCTGGGCGCTGTGTGCCACCGAAGGCGAAAAGAACAACATACAGAGCGCGGCGGCTACGGTCAAGTCAACATACCTGATCTCGATAGTGGTCCAAGTACGCGATCGCTCCCTGGTCGCACGTGACAACACTCGGGGATCTGTGGATTTCTGTCGCCCAGTCATACGCAAACCCGTCGCAGTTGTAGAATGGCCCGCCTTGTATGGCGTCCGGGCAATACGTGTCGAACGCCCACTTAACCCCAGCTGCTTTGTTGACGCCGTACGTTCCGCCATCGTCCGCGTGCGACAGAGCCATCGGCAGAACAACCCCGATGGAGCTCACTATCCGGTTCCACTCCTCTGTATTCACATTTTCTTCCATCATGGCGGCCTGGATGACTCCCCAGAACTCCTTCGCCATCGCGTCCATGTCCTTGAGGTCCCTGCGCGCGACGATGGTTGACGTGGGCGCCTTGGTGGCCTTGTGCGTGTTGTTCTCCGCCGGGAAAAACGGTATCTTGCTCGTGCTCGGCTTAGCTCCGTTTTCCTTGTCACCGAGAGCTTCCCCAAGCAACACCTTATCGAACCTAACCTCTGCAATTTTGTTGGCGTTGAGCATGGCTTCCCCCTTGCGGTCTGTCGTAACGGCCCCACTCAAAGACCGCAGCTGTTCCTTGCCCTCCACGGAAAACGCAAACGATTTTTCCAGCACTGCCTTCGCCTTCCTTATCGCACCTGCTCGAAGCTTGATGATACCACGCCGCACGTCCCGCTCTGAGTACGATGGGTACAGGCGAGTGTCGACCTCGTCCACGGCGGCACGGCGAGAGTCGCATATCCTGGGGAGCTTCACCATGTACGCCTGCGTGATCCTTCCCAGATTCTGTTTGACCGTCCTGTTTTCCATCTCCATGAACTCGTCCAGGAAGACGTTGTTGAAATTCCTGTAATTCTTGGTGTTGTACTGAGACGAAAACAGGCACGAAACCGCCTCCAAGTCGTTGTCTGTCATCCGCGCAAGGTTGAGTAGGTGCCACGAAGCCAGCTGTTGGTAACGGTTCTTTCCCGTGGCTGCGAAAAGAGGAGCAATCTTTCGGAATCCCGCCACACATAGCTTGTAGTTCGCAGTTCTACCCCCCGTTCGAAACATGAGGTACCTTGGATAGTCGTCCAACAAGAATGTCGCCCACAGACGTAACGTCTTGTGCTCCTTGGCTTCCTCCCTCAACCACGGCACGACGTCTTCCTCGACATTTACTGGCACCCCACGAGCGCGCCCCCCCGCCCCCGGCGCCCCCTCCCCTGCCGAAGCGCCATTCGAAGGAGTGGCCGAGTCAGCGGTGGTCATCGCTGGCGAAGCTGCTTCTTCTTTCTTCGCTACGATGTACTTCTCGATGACGGCCCACCACATGGCTTCGTAGGTGACCGTTAGGAGATGGTGACTCCGCCTGTACTTGCTGCCAGCGGCGGCGTGCTTGTTATCGCCACCGAGAGCTTTGGCGACAACCTCCACGCCTGCACCGTAGTACCTTGAAATTAGGGCTTTAGTCATGTGCAGCATGATATGCCAGCCGCCCGGGTGAGGTAGCATCCACTTGTACTTCTCCGGGTTCCCCTTCTTGAGTTGCACCATAATTCTGTACGTCTCCTCGTCCCCCTCTACAAGGACACGCCGCCTCGCCGTGCTTTGCCATTTCCCTCCCACCTTGTTCCACACCACTCCCGCGTGACAGCAACGCTGGATTCGGTCAAGGGCAGCCTCGTTGTCGACCAAGCGTTTGGTGGAACCCGCCTGAAGAAATAAATTCTTTGAATCAACCTTGCACTTGGGCGCGGTATGGTTGTCTTGAATCTGAATCTCCAGACAAGACTCACCCTCCCCCTCCGCGTTGAGATAGCCCGGGCTGTCTCCAAGAATTTTGAAGAGAGTACGGTTCCAACCATCGACCGTCGCGTCGTCGTCCGCCCCAGCCCCCCCCCTTTTTAACATCGAGAGGGTTACTTCTCCGACCTTCCTCCACAGCGACTCCAACCCCAGAGTAGGCGACCCCGGCTTAATCACTTGGTGTCCGCATGCTCCAATTTGGCTGAGGTGTTCAACACTTGCCACTGCAGCATGCGGGTCGGCATCGTTGTTGTCCCACGACACAGCTACGCCGACGTCCGGGCTTGCTTTTAGCAGGGTTTCGTCAGCGACTTGGCCGAAGCACTTTTCCCG